CTGGGGATTCGAACCCGCCACCTTAGGTGTATGTGGCTGGCGCCTTAGCCGCTTGAGCCACAGGTGCCGAGCCGACTTTTTTCCAAATAAATAATAATTTTGTTGTTTAGAGTTCAGGGCTATCTTTTGAATTTTATGAGACAGTTGACCAAGATGTACTAAATATTTATCTACATAAACTCAAATGCTTGAATAGAGGTGTATATAAAATTGATATGAACTCCATTTTTACAGTTATTACCGGGGGCTGGGTTTGAACCCACCACCTCCGGCATATAGGGCCAGCACCCTACTCCTTTGAGCCACAGGTGCCGCCCCAAACTCCATTTTAAAATGTTTTTCTTAATGTCCTTTAATTTCAGGGATGAAATTTCTTAGAAACTTATGCCTATTAAGAAAAATATCTACAAATTAGAAATGAACAAAAAGGATGACTGTGTACTTTTCAAAGTCACATTGGAACATTGTCTAATAGGCCCACGCCAGGATTCCTAAAATTTATAGGGAAATGTACTGATGTACATTTTTTTTTTTTTGCAGGTTTTGGCCAGGGCTAGGTTTGAACTCACCTCCTCTGGCATATGGGGCCAGTAATCTACCCCTTTGAGCCACAGGCTCTGCCCCTGATGTTCTGTTTACTATTGATTAGGCACTAGACATTATGAAATGACATATTAATTTGCAAATTATTGGCTAGCACAGATGCAAATGATTCGGTCCACTAGAAAAGATTATCCTAAGGTTACAGTTGTATTACTGCCTTACACAGGATATTAATATATGTTCTAAATAATTTAGCAAACGTTTTTCAGCATGTCCCCGCCAACTAACTATATGTACATCTGCTTCTCAAATGATCTTTGAATTATTTTAATGGCTCCCTCACTAATGGGTTAAATATATCTTGGACACATTACTCAATCTAAATTTGAATGAATTCTGGTTTTACCTTTTAAGATATTATACTATGACTGTTGGGAAATCAACACTTCTCCAAAGTTCAGTAATTCCTTCAGTTTCTTTTTCCTTTTAAAATTCAAGTGAAGTAAATGAGATTTCTTTATTAGCTGCATTGCTTTAAAACCAGAACAGAAGAATAAATGTTGTTTTTTAATTGTAATTAAAGTTGTAATTCAGGCCACAAGATGCTCAGAATCTGGTAGTTGGGGCAAGAGAACAGGACGTGGGTGGTCTGGTGATGTGTGCCCTTTCTCTCCAACAAATTTGATTGTTCCTGGGTCCTCGATAGTCAGGTCCCGCTTCAGTTTTATCATGCAGTTCCAAACTTGGTCATTACTGGGGTCAGCACAGACACGTTGCCCCTTCTTGGTGAGGAAGCTGGGGAATAAGGGGGAGAAAGATCACACACCGAGGTGTGTTTACCTAATGGAGATGGGGAGCCCCATCCTCCCTGCCCCTCAATTCCCCATTCAAAACAGCCTGTTCTTCCCATTCTGTGCAGCTGGCAGCTCAGGGCCAGTGTCCTGGTGCCCCTCCCTCAGCATGTGAGACTCCCTAGTGACTCCCAGGCCTGGCCTTGGGCAGCCTTGTGGCTGCTCTCTCCTTCCTTCCCTACCCTCCTCTCTTCTGGGGACAGCTCTTCCTTGATACCCTGGCAGGGTCCTAGGAAGCACAGAAGCTGCCCCTTACCTGGCAGGATCCAGAGGAAGGGACTTCTCTGGAAACCCATCCATCGGGTGTCCCCTGCAAGACCCTACAGACTGCCTGTCCCCAGTACATGGTCGATGAGCTTGGCACTTACATGACAGCTGGCCGGGAGCACCCACTGCTTGTTTCAAAGTAATCTTTCATGAATGGACACCGGATGCTTCGTGGGGTATAGGAGTAGCAGCAGTCAGAAGGGCGATGAAAGCCTGCAGCAAGAGAAAAGGCCACTGAAGGGCCCAGCCCAGCC